GTGTCATCCACAAACTTGGACAGAGTACACTTCACTCCCTCGTCCAAGTCACTGATGAAGACATTGAAGAGTATTGGTCCGAGGACCGAGCCCTGCGGGACCCCACTGCCCACACCCTTCCAGGTAGATACCAACCCATCCACTACGATTCTCTGGGTATGACCCTCTAGCCAATTCGCCACCCACCGGACTGTGTAGTCATCCAAGTCACAGCCTCTTAACTTGTTCACCAGTATGTGGTGGGATACCGTAAAGGCCTTCCTGAAGTCTAAGTAAACGACGTCAACCCCTACTCCTGCGTCCAGGTGTTTTGTAACCTGGTCATAAAAAGAGACTAGATTAGTCAGGCATGATCTACCCGCTATGAACCTGTGCTGGTTTCCCCTCAGCCTAATTTGTTCTGCCGGGCTCTCGCAAATGTGAGCCTTGATAATTTTTTCAAAGACTTTGCCAAGGATGGAGGTGAGACATGTAGAAGACAACTATGTAACTACTTTTATACCTGTCAGAGAGGAAAGCTATGGATATAAACTTGTTTCTGTTTATCCGTATGTGCATGTTTATGTATATGTTTCTATTTATGTTAAGTAAATTCCCTATCTTGAAAGTGACAGAATACTTACACTGGGCAGACATTAGATATAACTAAATAGATGTAATGCAGGCACATACTATGAACGTTTCTATATACTATCCTGTTTATCCAGCCATGCCAGCAATACCCCTTTACTTAGGCTAGCGGTTCTCAAATTTTTGAAGACATCAGGCACTCCTTGTTAGGCTAAAGGCATCCCTCCAAAAAATGCCAGCTCTTCCACTTCACTCATTTTTTTTACTATGGAAATATAATAGAGTAATTCTTCTGTTGCAAAGAACTCAGATTGTGTCAGAATGTTTTTGACACTATGGACTCCTATTTGAAATGTCTGGGTTTATCTTATGAATCATGCATAGGAATTTGCACACCTAAAAGTTGCTAATATTGCATAACCTCTTAAAAGGACCTCACAGCACCCTAGTTGAGAATCACTCATCTAGATTCTGGGGTTTTCCTTCATAAATACAGTCCCTTCCATCAAACTGTACCCGTTTGACTTTTGTTTTCTGTTTGACAAGCATTTATCAGAAGCAAACCTGAGAAAAACTTACCATATTTACCTGAATCCAAGACAAAGTTTTTTACCCCCATTCAACATAGAGAAAGAAACTCCTCATCTTAGATTCAAGTACGGGGGGGGGGGGGGGGCAAAATAGAAAGCGCCCGCCCCCCCCCCCCCCCCCCCCCCCCCCCCCAGCCTCTGCTCTTCTCCCCACTGCCCCCTCCTTCCTACAGCTCAAGCATCCATCTGGGGCCCTGCTCTAGCCCAGGTCAGGGAACAAGGAGCATATCTGCTGCCTCCAGCCCAGCCACAAAGCAGCAGCAGCAGCTCTGTCCCAAACTCCAGAGCCAGAGCTGAAGATGCTAAAACTGCAACAGCTGCTGCATGGCTGGACTGGGGCCAGAGCAACCACAAGCTCTGTGCTCTCCATCCTGGGACAGAGTGGGGACCATCCAGAGCTGGAACTGGAAGGGGAAGTTAAGTAGCTGCAAGGTGGGGAGGGTAAGAGCAGAGTCTGCAGGGAGAAAACACTGGACACTAAGAACTAAGGACACTAAGAACCAAGGACTTTATATGCTTCTATGGCATATTATAATCTACCTGACTCCTAAATTCTTTCCACACATGAAAGGTGAGAATGGCCTTCCTCCCTTTGATAGACCTTCATCTCCCAGTCATCAGTTTTGTTTCTTCTACTAATTGTATGTCTGGTACCCCTGGCAGTTTCTCTCACCCCTTTCTACAACTGTTTTTTTTACTATGCTGTGCTTGGCTTGTTCTAGTCAGGCCTGATGAAGAATTTCTTGCATTTAAAAGCTTGTCTACCTGTATCCTAACCATACATTTGGTCCATTAAAAGATAGATATCACCCTAAGAAATCCTTGTCTCAATTTTACCAGCTCACCAGCGTGGCTACATCACTCTTAAACTACCATTCAGTTTCTAAGAAACTTCACCCTAATTTTTGCTCTGTCATGGACCTGTACTTATTCTATTTGTATTAGTCTGGTCTAAGCACTTCAGTGCCTGGTTTACTGCTATGGAAATAGTGCTCAAGACTCAGATTTAACATCCCCTTTTCTTCCTTTGTCCACATCATATTAGCTTTTCCTTTTACGTTATACTTTCATTACAACCATGTAGTATCTTTATCTAGTGTCTGTAGCATGTAGGAGTCAGATCACTATGAGAATGTTCATGAGTGCTGCAGGACTTACTATCAAGACAAAAGAAAATGTTTTTTAAAGATCTCCTTCTAGTAAAGACAGCTATGCACAGAGCATGCTCACTTACCCACTCACTGAAGTTGTTGCACTTTTGTTTCAAAGAGAATCTTTGGGAAGTGTCTGGTACTTGGCAGGGAAAAGTCAAAGAACAACTAAAAATCAAAACATAATATTTAGTAATTTTTTATTTCACTATATTAAAAACCACACAATTTTAGTAAGCAGAAAGAACTTACCTTTCAACCATCTTAATTGTAATTAGATCCTTAATCTAAACTGTTAAACACAAAGAACTCTGTGGAGAAAAAAAATCTGTAAAATAGTTATTCCCTAATTAGTTAAAACTGAATGCAATGCACAATTATCCTACAAAGTAGGATACTACTACAAAGTACTGCAGTATATCTAAAGATGTTTAGAATAAGTATAATTGATGCAACTTAACCTTTACCATACACACATTTAATTCCATTGTTCCCTTTAAAATGAACAGCTACTAAAGTCCTTTGATTTCAAGTCTACCTGTCATCTATATGTAAAGAAAAAAAAATGTCACAACACTTTTTAGCAATGAAGAAATGAGAGGTCAAAATCCAGGCATTAACTGTATTCCCCTCCAAAGACAAAGGAAGCTAGAAAATAAAATAATCGCAACCTAAACCAACCCAAACTTTTCTTTAAATGAAAAGAAATGCTAATGTACTGCATTCAACAGTCAGTCAATATGGTAAGTTAAGCACCAAGGTCCTGGAGGACAACAGATAAACCGTTCTCCCCACACAAAAAATAGAGCAGGACAGGTTCTTGAAATTTAAAAAACATGCATGTTCCACATCAGAACAAACCTTTCACATTGTTTCAGAGAGAGAGAGAAACCCCAAATCAAACCAGTCAATGTCCTGGTGACGGCAGATACCTGGAATGTGGTAGACCTACCTTTTTAACTTCCCAAGTGAGTGCCCTATCCTTTAACAGCCAGGTATATAAGTGGGTCAGTTGATCTTTCTTCTGTCCACTTCATACAAATCAATCAAAATTATTGGAGTAGGGTTTAATACTTTCTACATGAGTGCTACACCCACTGTGCTACAGAAGCAATCAGTTTCTGTCACTCTTCCCCTCTTTCTGGTCTATTTTTTTTTCTTTAAGTGAAACAGCTCTATCAGGAGACACTGATAGAGACCCTAGACCAGGCTTGTCCATCATATGGCCCACGGGCCACCATGCAGCCCTCCAAGCTGTTTTCTAAGGCCCAAGGAGCTGCAATGGGAAATGAAAGTAAACACTGTACTTTGGTTTGGGGGGGGGATGCGACACCGATTCCTGTGAGGTCTTTGAACATGGCTCGCCGGCCCACTGGGTGATAAAAAGTTCATGATCCAGCCCCACATTCAAAAAGGATGGACACCCCTACCCTAGACCAAGCAAGCCAATATAGCCAGGTGGTTAGAACACCCACATAGGATGTGAGACACCCAGGTTCAAGTCCCTAGTCTGAATCAAAAACAGAGTAGTTTAGACTAGGGACTTAAACTTATGACTCCTAACGCCAAGATTAAAGTCTGACCCACTAAGTTAACTCTTCTGGGATGGTCTCTCTCTCTCTCAGTTCATAAATTGCATCCAAGGCAACAAAATCCTATCCTAATGGAAGTTTCAACAAAACTAGTATGCTTCCATGTTAGAAAATTAGCTGTTTCTAATGAAAAATCATTTTGCCTAAAATTTCCCAGCCAAATCCAACTCAAAAATATTTTTTCTTACAAGTAAACCAACTTTTATGAAAACATATTTCATCAAATATGTCCTCCTAGTGCTGTGCAACCATCTTGTTTTATGAGTAAAATAAATTAAAAAATACATTGTTTTTAAAGTTGCATACAGAGAAAAGCTCTGGCAGGCAGAATTACCTAAAGGAACACATTCTAAAAAATATCTGGTGGCTTTTAAAATTATATACTGTAACAATTCTCCAGCTTGTAAAGCCAGCTAAGTCTCCTATATAGAAACATAAATAAACAAACTGGAAATGCCCAAAAGACTTGGGAGGTTAGGGGCCATTTTTGGTGTTGAAGGTACTATTTTGCATTAATGATGGTAAGAGAAGATACATGATAATATTTTGCATCACTAGTATTTCTTGTTCTTAATTCATCTTGCAAGGCATTTTCCTGGATACTTTTTTCAAAATTAAATATTAGAATCTTCTTGTATTCTAGAACTTCATTTTATAACCTATGCATATTTTGAGAATTCTTGTTAAAAACTGTCAAACAATAGATACAAAAATGTTAACACATATTTTTGCAAACAGGAATATTAAATTAAAAAGTACAATGCATATAGACCTTTGTACCATAAGCATGTATTATGAAAACCTTTGATGAAAACTGGAGAGGTGAACACACATTGCCTACGTGCTGTGTAAGTGTATGGTATAGACTGTACACCTTTAAGAATATAACACACATAAGTCAGTCAGCAAATTGAATTTCTTCACCCTCACAAACATCATCCAAAACACCACCAACCTACAGTCATGCCTTTTCTTACACATACTATTTCTCTGATCTGCCATTACTGTAGGATATAGTCACATACATTACTGATTTGTTCCTGAGTCCTTTTCAGTCTTTGTAATTCAGGTGTATCAGTCACAATGCTGAATCCTCTTCCTTTGCTTTCTTCAAAGTCTCTTTTGTATTTGACCTAAAAAACAGAAAACAGATTAATAGGTTGCATTTGCTCTTTTTTTTTGTTTTTCCAATTTAATTCTAGGAATGATTGTTTTTAAGTGAATAAAACACTCGGGGGCCTGGAATTCAGGTGTGGAATTAGGAACAGAGGCAGCACTGCAAGCTTCCATTTAGAATATATGTTACGTGTACATTTTAGTCCTTTGCCTCCATCCAACTTATTAATGGTCCTGTTTTGAATTCCAGGATCTAACTTTGTTAGGAGTGGCTTTGTGGCAAAACTATGAAGCTCTTCATAGAAATATAGAAAAGAGATTTGCAGATAGTTATAAATCTACTCAGGCATACTGTATTCTGTAACATGAGGATACTTGCCCAGTTTACTGGATGATGCTGAGCAAGGACAGAATCTCCCAGTGTTGCGACAGTTGGTAGCACTAGAACCATCTTTATGTATTTACCATATGCCAAGTCTAAGGGTTTCTGTAGTGCTCAGATTGTTTGGCTCTGAAGGTTAAAAGCATTTTTTGATTGAGGAGAATTGTTTTCTCTTCTAGAAAATCTAAATATGTGAGAGGAACTTTCCTATGTTTTTATATGAAAACTTCAGGATGTTGAAATATTTTTTTATTCCACTTAAGGGGGAAAAAAAAAAACCAAAACCTTTTTATATGGCTTTTCACAATTTACAAAGTTTTAGAAATAATCCCAAAATTAAGATGTTTAAATGATACATATTGGAACTTGTGTATTTATTTTACTTGTGAATATGAAAGTGCTGTGAACAGAGATGTGGATTTTCCGCAAAATTTTGAATTGGAAAATTTTCTGGAAAAATTTCCAATGCCCTAAATAGAGCGAGATCTGATTTAGCATGTTTAGTTGACTTATATTTAGTAAACAAAACTAAAAAAGTACCCCCATGTTAATTTTATGCCCAATAGTCACAAGTATTTGAACTGAAATATTTGATTAGGGAAAAAAAATAAATACAGTCAACTTAATGTGATTTTAATGTTTATATTCAAACAAATTCAAAGCTTTATGTGGAAAGAAATTATTGGAATACTTGTAAAAATGTAAAGAATACACTGACGAAGGGTTTTTGAACCCAAAAGCTTGCTTAATAAATATTCTCCAACTATTTGGGTTGGTCTAATAAAAGATATCAAATTCACCCAAGGAACCTTGTCTGCCTATGTCCTTAGACCAACACGGCTACAACCTAAACCCCTGCAAGAATACACTATAGCATGAACTTCCCTTAAATTATTTGTTTAAATTTAAGGAAAAAAAGAGAAGGCACTGAAAACTGTTGACACACTAAATTTAGCACACCCAAAGAACTGTGCATGATATGCCATGGTTGTCCACTCATCTACTTCTACAGAGTTTAACTCTTGTCCACTGAGGTCACTGCAGCATCTCCAGATTCATTGTCACTATCTGTAGAATCACTTGCACTACTTATTAGTTCCAGTTCAGAATTAGATTGATGCAAATATGATTCAGAACTACTTGAACCACATCCTCTTTTGCTAAAGGATGGTTTTTACCAATGAGTCTATGGGCAAGGGCAACTTATCATCACACTGCATCCTCTTCACTAATTGTGCTTGACTGATTCTTCAGAAGCAAGAGATTTTGAGAAATAGAAACTAGCTTAGTGGTGCGTTTATTTATTAGTTTTTCCTCTTTTTTTGTCTTGATTGAGCTGAAAGCCTTCCAGTTCCATTCACAAGAAGCTGCTTTTGGTGGAATGCTTAAGATCCTTGGAGCAATCGTGGACAACAGTCCAGTACTATAGTATCTCTTCCACCTTGTGAAAGGAAGCATTCTCTGCTTCCTGCCAAATTATGTCTTTGCTCCAAAGTTTTTCTTTTGCGCGGTACTCGGCAACATCTGTCATCATGGCTATTTCGTCGATATTGGGGACATTCTCAGCTACTTCTATAATTGTATCAAGAGCAGTAGATAGTTCATCTTCCGATAAATGTTGTCCTCTGTGTTGAGGATCCAAAAAGTTTGCTGCCAGATGAACTAGATGAAAGCAAAACTCAGATCTCTTAATAAATGTTAATTTTACTTCTTCCTCTTCTTTTTTGGATAGAGATGAAGAAGGCCAAAGCTTAATTAGATTTTCATTCAGTTATCTGAATATCTCTGGAATATTTGAAAGGCTTGGTGCATTTCCTTCAAGTTTCTTGATAGCCACTGAAACTGGTAGTAGCAAATTGAATACTCCTTGAACTCAAACCCAGAACACATCATTGTCAAGAATCTGCTTCCGAATGTTCATGGGAATACTCTGGGATACTGTGTTATCTATTGAAGCACACTGCAGACAGTTCTTTGTGCGCAGCAGACTATGTAAACACTTTGTATCCAAGCCCCATCTAGTTTCTCCTGGCAATAAAAGTGCACTTTCCTTTCCATGTTTCTTTTTCTGTAATTTCTTCAAAGTCTGATTAGCAGCATGATGATTGTTCAATACCTTCGCAATTGCTTTGCCATTTGCCAATATTGTCTTCATTGTATTCACACTTACTATGTCCTTTGCCAGAAGATTCAACCCAAATACTATTAAATGAGGATACTTTGCCTTTAATATTTGCCATGCAGCTTTCATGCTACTCATATTATCAGTTACAAGGGCTTATTATCTATTATGTAATTTAAAAAAATATATTGTTAAGCCTAAGCTACTTTAGGTGCTTAGTGCAAGCAGAAAAGCAGGATACAAATATTTTAAATAAATAATAGTCAAGAGGTGCATTAACAACTTTTCAAATTATAATGTTTTAAAACAATATAGATGCTAGTCTATACTGTGTGTTGTTTAGCATATTAATGTGTTTACTTGCATGGGATTCCTGAAATAGACTTTTCTCAGATGATGCTGTTCCACCACTTTGTTGTATTAGCTTTCTGTATTTGGCTTGTATTCTTTCAGAACAGTTTCTACATGCTATTATATGTTTCTTCATTCTTGTTGACTTGTTGGCATACTTCTGCCCACAATATTTACATCTACCAACTTTCTTCCTTCCTTCAATGGCTTGAACTTCACTATAATGATGCTACACACTATTTTTTTTTCTGATTAGTCATTATGATGACTACTTCAAACCGGAAGCACTAAAAACTAACAGACCTTATGCAAACACTTCCAACTTTCCCAACTCAAGAAAAGAAATGAGACACTGCTCTGTGTGTTTGCTGAACTGAAAGTGAAACACAAATTAATCAGTTCTAGTTTTGGTTTTGCTTTCACTTGCAGTCTGAGATGAAATAATAATTTTAGCTTTGGTTTTGATTTGACCTGCACAGCCAATTAGGTGAATTCATAACTAGATTTTTGGTTTGGATTATGATGTGACTGTATTTACCCACCTGTTTACAAATCAATAAAATATATATGTGCGCTTTCACATATTTCCTTGGGATAATCACCTGAAAAACATTAATTACAACTTTGACACTGCCAAGCTTGCCTAATATTGCATTGGCATCCATTCATTGTTACTAATTAATTTTATGAAACAATGAATTTTTAGAAATGGAAAATTTTCCATGGAAAAATAAAGCACTGGAAAATTTTCCGGAAAATTTCCCACCCCACATATCTGGCTGTGGGAAAAAAATTAGGGTTAAATTAATTGTAGTTCCAAATTTCTCATAATCTTTTTCTTGCTTACTGCTTACAAAATATATATGGAATATATGTTCACACATGTAACCTAGAGCACTAGAAATTACCTTTTAGACGTTAGTTTGTTTTGTTGTTTCCTGCAATTTTTCTTCCTATTACTCTGGATTCCTATTTCATTTTTTTTCTATTACTTACATTGCTGGAAATCAGAATGTGGATCAGTACTACTGCTGCCCAATCGAGTTAGTAAGAAATGGGGTGGTTGAGTGGATCCAGCTTCTTGGTGCTATGCATGCATTTTGTAGAAATTTTATAATACTTGAGATGGGTTGGAATGAAGGATTATCTTTGGAGACTAAATACTTTATTCACATCTTTACTGATGGATAAAGAGTATTACGATCTACCTACAGTATTCTTGTTTTGCTTTCTGTGTTTTAGGACTGCCTTCCTGCTTTCATATGCTTCCTTAATTATTTAGGAGCTATTTGTCCACTGTTGGAAATGATGCTAAGATTAAAGATGAGTGCAAAAATGTATACCAGTCGTAAAAGCTGAGAGTTTTTTTAGGATTTCAAATTAGTGTATTCTTCTCGCATATAGGTGGCAGTGGGGGGGTCAGATGGACAATTTTTAGAAATGAAATGTGTCAGTCCTGTGCTAATCAATGGTTTTGTCACAATGCCAAAACTTACTTGCAAAACTTCCAGAATCAGGTCTGGATCAAATTCAGAACACTTTACTGTTTGTTCCTGGATTAGGTTTCTTATACAGAGAAAGACAGTGAAGGCCGTTAGTCTGGATTCTTCCTACTAACCTCAAGTTGAAACTTTAGAAAGGTTTAACAAAAACCTCTAGTTGGGCCTGTTGAAGACGCATGTGGCCAGTGGCTTGAATCTTAGAAATATGATTTATTATTAATCATGTCATCCTCCACCCATGTAGTGTCGGATTATTCCTCAGTATTTTTTCTTATTAAGCTTAGAACAACATGAGCAATGGGATCTTTTCAAATTGAAAACAGGTTTAAATAAGATGGTTTTTAATGGGAGGCATTGAAAAACAACTTTTGAATTAGATGCTTTTAAGATTTAGTTAAAAATGGATCTTTTAACATTAAATGTAAATTGTAGAGTCACTGAGTAGTTGTCAGTGTTTGGGAATTACATTTAAGACAAGTATGGCACTAAAAGAAAAAAAACCTTCTTGATTTTTTTTTGTGTGTGAGATTTAGCATTATGTTTTGAAAATTGATTGCAAAATTTATGTATAGTGCATTTATTATCTTGTTATTCATATTTTTGGGTTTTCTAATTTTTCACACCCATTGTTCACAGGATATTTTAAATCACCTTTAAAGC